ATATGATATTTGTACCCGGGTACATTTCAAAAACTTTCGCTAAAAATTCTTAAATTGTACCCGGGTACATTTAAAAATTTTTTTGAATAGTACCCGGGTCCTAATATAGGGGGGTACTATATTCAATGCTCTACGGTATATGAGTCGTTTATATATTAATTAATATTAATACTGATGACAACAATTTTCCTTTTTTTTAGCAAGGATTTACCGTTGTTGCACCGGTTTTTTAGACAATTAAAAATCTTTGTCTTCTATTTTGAAAAATCGTTACTGAAAGCTATGCTGTGAATATTTTTATTAAGCTACAAATATTAATATTGAATGAACGAAACATGCTAATATGTATAAATAGACTACATTGTTTAAAGTACAATCACCAATTAGCTTCATTATCATGGCATAAATATACCCGTTAATGGAGATCTTCAGGAGTATTATTGTCGCAGGTTTATTTTTAGATTGGGATTACAATATACCATTTTAACAGTTCGTTCAGCTTTGTAATATTTTATTGAATTGACGCAGCTACAGCCAAGTCATACAAGTACGCTGCAGTGTTTCATGTTTGGGCATAAAAAGACAATAAAAATAGCTGTTTAGCATAATAGTAACGACAACAATGATAATAATCTATTCTAAGAGTCTACAATGAAGTTTGTGTGAATGCAAATTTCTATAAATAACTGACTTGTATTGAGGGGCCAGAAAATATTAATATTGATATTGATATTTCGAAACTACTTCAAATCATAAAATTAATACGCTAACAGAATGAATGCTTACATAGACATCGAAGAATATTTACAAAACATCGAGAAAAATGTTGAAGAATATTGTTACGGTTTTTCTGAGGAAGAACATGTAAATAATCGGGTCTTAAATAACCATGACGATATGGACATAGATTGGAGCGAAGAATTCGGTTCTGTGAGTGAGCCCCTGTCGATGATACAAGATGAACAAGAAATTGAAGAGGTTTCTATGCCAAATGCCACTACCGCATGTGTAATCATAGATACAATTCAAGGGGAAATTAGACGCTGCAATGGTACAGCGGAATTACGGCCATTGAAACAGTTAGCGGAAACATGGGAAATAGATAATAATGCGGTCGAAGAAGCTAAGAACAAATCCCACAGACTAGGAGTATGCCAAACGCATTATTTGTTCGATGATAAAATCACCGGAAATCTCACTGACCAAGCAACTATGATGTCGAAAATTAAGGCTGCTCAAAGTGAGAGAGACCGCTTATCAACGCTCCTTTCTGAATATGCTGGTAATATTGTAGTAAACCAAGGTGATCGCACAGTCAAATCTCGTAAAGATTTGCTTTAATCTCTTATTGCAAACCTGTCATCTGCATTCGGACATTCAACCCCTGAGACACATTTTTTGTTTGAGGATGCGCCAGAAATCAATGACGAAGAAATTATCATACTCACTGATAATAGAGAAATAACGCGTAATAATTTAACACGGGAATGGCCAGAATGGCCATACACCGTATATGCTCCAACAAAGAGACGTCTAATATAATAACAGTTGTTGATATCTCGCCTCACTGATAATAGAGAAATAACGCGTAATGATTTAACACGGGAATGGCCAGAATGGCCATACACCGTATATGCTCCAACAAAGAGACGTCTAATATAATAACAGTTGTTGATATCTCGCCTCACTGATAATAGAGAAATAACGCGTAATGATTTAACACGGGAATGGCCAGAATGGCCATACACCGTATATGCTCCAAACAAAGAGATGTCTAATATAATAACAGGTGTTGATATCTCGCCAGACGAGGCGAAAGTTAATGATGATCCAAAACTTCAAAAATAGTACCCTCAGTAAATCTTGCAAGTAAATACTTGCACAATATGTGCGTCAAACTGAGCCTCGTGTGTCTGCTGGACGTCGTAAGCGAAATATAGCATACTATACCTATGCTAAGCTTGTGGAAATGAAGAAAACTAAATCAAAAGGTATTCGACAGAAAGCCATTTCGAAATCAGTAGAAAGAAGTAGTGAACAGGTTACTCTATCAACGCCCTCTGACACGAAGTAGACACGTCGTCCAACTACGGAAATCGAGAAAGCTATCCTCGCCCCACTTCTCGAAATTGATGACAATGAATTGCTTGAAACAAAAATTCAGGAAGTCTTACTGCAACTTCCAACCTGGACTAGGGGAGGAGCTAAGCAATATGTGAGAAATAATAGTCGACAGAAAAAAACTGGTCAACAGTCATAGATAATCTTTACTATAGTATGTTGATTTATTATTAGCGAATAATTAATTTATAATTAACGGCGTCACTATTATATCATTATATAGTTAATATCATTATCATCATCATTATAGTTATTATTATTATTATAACCATAATATAAATACAATTGCGTAATTTTGTAACTGTTAATCACGTTCATGTAATTACGTTTTCAAAATGTCGATCATCATCCAATCATGTGTTATTCACCTGCCTGTAACCTCGCGAACTGGGAATTTTGCAGGAGTTGTATTTGAGTGCTTTGTCCCGAATTTATAAAAGTCGTCAGTAAGTATTTCTGTTGAAACAAAATAGGTGTGTGATTTGTATAAGACATACTGTAACAACGGCTCATATTAGTGATCAGGATAAAACCACTACCAACGTAATTGGCGCTAGATTATCGCTTCTGCTAACAATGCTGCATACGTTATATACAGATGTTTCATGCTTTTTACTTGGAATATCGTTGCATCACACACACTACATATTAATATTCCAGTCCGAATGGGTGCAGATTCGATGAAAACGGATTTATCATTGACACACTCGAAGATATTAGTTCTTAGTAATAAGTCATATGAGATTAGGGAGCACTATTTTCGATGCTTATGTTACTTGTCCGATTTAGAGATCTGAAATATCTCCACAATAAAATTTAGGAAAGAGCGCTTTATTATTATTATGGACCCTTCAATCAGTATCGTGCAGCTAATTATTGCCAATATTAATATGAAATGAATTCAACATACGACGAGGTCATCATTAAAAATCCAGGCCTTTTAATTCATGCCGACCCCCCTCTCCAGTCATTTCTTATAATGCCTCTTCCAACCCGACATTAAACCTGATACGTTGAAAAAGAAGTCACGATACCTGCATCATTATCTGACATTGTAAAGGCAAGTACTCAGTGTACACTAATACATACATGTCATACATATTAATTAGCACCACGGCAAAACGAAAGTATCAGTTTGTATGTCGTTATCGAATACTTTCCATGGTTCTTATTCTTCGATAAACGTGTTACATAATCGGTGGTTTGTCTATATTAATTACATTTAGGAATGCTTCTATGACAGCGTCTAGAAATTGCAAGTAAAGTGTATTTGTACCAATAAGATATTTTGAACTATCTTTCACTTACTATCTTAAACGATACACAACCAGGTGTAGCTGAGATGGAATCTTCGCATTATGTTGTAAAAAACGACTTTCTTCGGGTCTAAGCTAAGTTGGCTTAGGGTTGAGCAATAATTGTGTTACTTGTTTCTAATGAAAGCACAAATGGGGGACGTATGGACAAGTCTAAGGTCAAAAAGCCCGTTTCATATTATTTTGTGGGAGCATTCTCGCCCTGAATAAAAATTTGCGCTTGTATTGAATTACATTTCTGTAAAATTTTGGTGTATCGCGCCCTTTTAAGTTTGCTTATACGTGAATTTATTCAACAAAAATGAAGAATAAAGCATTACAAAGAAGACTATATGATGTTATAATCTAAATAAATTATCGTTATATTTAAGCAAGTGCATATATTAATATGCATTTTGTAGATTATTAATCAAAACACATTTATGCAACTATTAAATATTTGGTGGGAGGAAATTTACATATACAGTGAGTGATCAAAAACATTTGTCACTCGTCGAAATTTACTAGCAAAATATATGAAAAATCTTTTTTTTTCCCCTAAATTTCGATTGTACGTATTTACATTGTAAATACAATGATTTTGGATACTGCTGTTCGTTGAAGTGTCAGCATGCACGTTACACATGAGTTTCATATGTGTAACATAATACCTGCCACGCTTGCTTTAGAATGATGACGGAACTGAAAAGTTTCGAAAAATACAATCAATTAGCTTACAGCAGTACCAAAATCTTTGTGATTTACATAGTAAATACGTAAATCGAAATTTTAGAAAAAAAGATTTTTCATATGGTTTACTAACAAATTTCGACGAGTGACAAACACTTTTGATCACTCACTGTATCTGTCATTACTATAGCTGTGATAGTGACTATAGTCGAAATGTACCTAAATAAAACAAAATGTGACTATATAGAGGTTGTGACTATATAATAGGTGCTTATAAAGGGGTGTATCATTGTACTCTGCTTCCCATTTCAGCGTTTACCGATGAAGAATAGTGTTTTCTGCGACCTGGCGGGTAATTCCTGATTATCCTGACCTCAATCTGTAACTATTACTATTGGCCGTATGCGGTTTAACATCACAGATCACAACATACAGTCATACTAATACCTCCTTTACATTTGGAATGGGGATAATCGGTTGGTTCCAACAAAAAATGATGTGTTTATAAAGCCCTATTAATAGGAGAGAATAGTGTTTTGTGCGACACGGCAGCTGATTATCGCTACACTAATACCTCTTTATATCCCACTTTGGGAATGGGAATTTTTTGGAATAATTTATAAAGCGGTTGGTTCCCAACAAAAATGACTACATAATAATAAGATGTGTTCTATTTATAGGAGAGGCTGAGCTTTTGTGCGACCCGGCAGCTGATTATCTTGCACAATCTGCAACTATTAGCTGATGCGCAGTTTAACATCACATACTGTCATACTAATACCTCTTTTATATTCCCACTTTGGAATGGGGATTTTTTTGGGATATTTTATAAAGCGGTTTGTTCCAACAAATATGACTATTACTATAGGAGAGGTTGCTGACTTGGCAGGTAAATTTCCTGCAACTATTAGCCGAAGTTTATTGTATCATCACAGATCACAAAATGCAGTCATACGCCTTTTATATTCCCACTTTGGAATAAAGGTCCCATTTATAGGAGAAGCCGCTGACCTGCAGGTAAATTCGTGCAACTATTGGCGAAGCTTATCGTATGCAGTTTAACATCACATATCACAACATACATCTTTACATTCCCACTTTAAGATGGGGAGTTTGGGGATATATCTGAGGTGGGATACAAGTGAGGTAGTATTTTTATTGGTTAATAAATTCAGTTGATGAAAGTTTGGCGTTTAGCCTTTTCTACGGATTCATCTAAGCGTCGAATTATACTACGCATATATTTTACATCACTTTTTGTGGTAAATCTCTTTGCTCTAAGAATTTTTAACTATATCAAGTGCTTGTCTTCCCGTTCGCACAGAAATAATTGCCTTCCTCTTCGTCGCTCAAGTCTTCTTCAACATGTTGCTGCAATACACCTTCAGCCATCAGAAATTCCTCAAATATATTTTCTTCTGTTGGTAAATCTGTACTAACCCCACTTCAAGGTACTCATCCGCTGTTATGTCTACCGAAACGATTTGCAGGCTTCAGATTATTTAGAAGTCGTTCATACAGTCATCCGCTAATTTTGGCTTAAATGTCATCTACTTTGTTAAAAGTGGCGTGTTTACGACCTGATTGCGTTTTAGCACGGTTTGATATTTTTTATTAATAAACGTAATGATAAAAATTATATCCACAAAACGCCGGGGAAAAAACGTGGTTTTTTTTTTCTTTTTTTTTTTTGGTTTATTTGTATGTTTTTTTATAGTATCATATATAGTAAATTAGATGTATCTGACGTTAATACCGTATACAGACGGCAAAATATTGGGAATAGGGATATATCTGAAGGGGATACACAGGTGGGATATATCTGAGGTTGGGATATTAAAGGGTGGTGATTTAAAAGAGGTATGAAATTCCTACTAAATAAGGTATGTATCGCCGCAGCTACAACAACGGATATAAAAGCTTCGAGTCTTTGCTTTGCTTTGAAACACGGAAAAATGAGATTCCTGACTTTGTTTTTGATACTTTTAATAGCCAGCGCGAATCTTTTTGATGTACAGGCCAAAAAATACTATCTGCCGAGGTAGGCGAGTGATGAACTTTATATAAACAGAGTGCAAATCTTTAGTCATTAATAAGGTTAGCCTAATAAATAATTTCCATTTCCAGCTTAAGATTTAGAAGAGTACGCCGAACTAGGTATACCAGTAGTGGAACGTACAAGCGAGCAAACTTGACAGATGTCGGCCATGACATTGCTGTAAGTGAATAGCTTGACGGCTTATCAAAGTTATTTAATCCCCTTTTTTAACGTCACTCGTAATTTCTGCTTTATTGTTCGTTAGTATATATCAACTATTACAATAGGAACACCACCTCAAGCATTTACCTGT